AATTTAATTTTAAATTTAGTTAAAATGAGATAAAACCTTGAATTTACTTCATCCAATTAGCCACATCTCATTGCTCAAAAACTACATATGCCCAGTGACTACCACAATGGACAATATAAATTTATTTTATTTTTCAAACTTTTTATGTTTATTTATGTTTCCATTGTCATGGAAAGTTCTATTAGACAAGAATGTTCTAAATAGCTTATGTAAGCAATCATCATAAAAGGGTAAACTATATAAATATTTTAAAATGTTTGCAAATATAAAGTTTTTTGCAGTTTTCCTTCCACTCCAAGGAATATTTCAGAGACCAGAACATGCAAATCTAATTTGGAATCTGCTTATACAAGTTGAACTTTATTCTTTCTAACTATATAATTTTACTTTTCTTTTATAATTTTATTTCTAATTGACCAATAATAATTGCATTAGTTTTGATAATATGTTTAGAATTACTAGAATTAGTATTACTTTCATGTATTAGCTCTATTACTAATAATTTCTACAATTATTTGTGAAGCTGAATGGTGAAGGTAAAGACCATCTTAGATGAATCTAAATAACCCTGGTCAAAACCCTTTTGTCCTCTATGGGAGGTTTTTGTATGTAAGATTTTAAAACTTATCTACTTTTTAAAACCATTGTAGGCCTAGCCTAAATACATAAAGATTATAAGTAGAAAAACCATAGCTAAAGGCAACTACCATAGCAAATTATTTACTTAGACAACAGAGTATTGAGGAGTAAGTTCTATCCAGACATGGTAGTGCACACCTGTAATCCCTGCATTCAGGAAGCTGAGGCAGGTGGCTTGTGAGTTGAAGGCCAGCCTGGGCTACATAGTGAGACTCCACATCAACAAATAAAAAATAAATTTCTTTTTTGGGTCCTGGGATTGAACCCAAGGCCTCAAGCATGCTAAACATATGCTCTACCACCGAGGTACACTCTCAGGTCCCCAAAACAAATCTTTTATATCTAATCTTTATAAAGTTATACTGAATTTTACTAAAATATTCTAAAAGTTGAACTTCATTTTCAAAAGATGTTTCATAAAAATATGCATTCAATAAAGTGGTTGTACAAAAGCATCTCACAAGAATAACAAGACTTGTCAATTCTCACACAAATTGTAGTAACTGACTGGCGACATTAGTTTCTGTTGAGGTTTCCTCTCTACCTTATCCCAAAATTGAAGTTAGTTAAGGTCAATTATCTAAGACAAAGCTATAGATCACAAGCAAATGACCATAGTAATTCTTACAAGGGAAAAACTTTCTTAATAACTAAAATTTGCATTAAATGAATGAGGACTATTTGATAGGTTAAACGCTGAAAGATGGTATTATAGCTTACAAAATGTTGTCTAAATACAAACAATCAAATGATGAAATTATACTTATTTCCTAAGGATAAAACATTCAATAATTTTCTTTAAAATCAGGGGCTTAGGTGAACAATAAAATCCTATTCATGAACAAAATTGATTTTTGAAAACTCTCCAATTATTCTGCCACTATCCTTCAAGACTACTTTCATTTCATTAAATTTCTGACCAATATTTTCTTTCACTTAAATATTGTGAGATTTAAATTTGTATGCATTTTGACTAGTAAAATCTATCTGAATAATACAGAAAATATTAAACCTTTACCCAGACAGTTTGGAAACCAAGAATAAGGTTAGTGTATGAATTTGGTCAGATTCTTATTATTCACAGTGACATAGTCTTTAAACGTAAACTATTTTAAAGGTACCAAAACATCTCCTGATATAATTTTATGTGTTTACCCTGAGAAAACATCTATGATAAAATGTTATCATGAAGTAATTGAAAGAATATTGTTCTTATCAGGAGTAAAGAAAACATAAGTCTATGTCTGAAAGGCTTAGGTCAAACAAATGTTATATCAATCCTAAGATTCTGAAGAATGTATAAAGAAAGCCACAGTGAGTATTTTGGACATGTGTAAATCACACCTCCTTCTAAATCAGCACAGTTTACATCTAAGCTCTGTTGTTTCAATTCAGTAGACAAATAGTGAGTGCCTGCTTCACGCAAGTTAGTATGCTTGGCATTGTGGTTTGTGCTTTCAACCACAGCTCTCTACTTGTCTACCTGTGCTTCACTGACACTCAGATTTCACCTGTCAGTAAGTGCTAAATTTGTTAGCTCTCTACATTCAAACAGCAACAATAACGATTGTTAGGAGTTTGCTAGTATTCTCTCAACTAGAGGTTCACAGGAGAATACTGCCCATTACTTCATCTAGAGACAGAACCATTACATGTCTTCCGACCTCAATTCTGTCTCCCTTTGCAGGCAGAAAAAGAGGTTTGGCTATTCTTCAGGTTTATTTTGGAATTATAACTAAGAGGCATACAGCCCATCTAACATTTTTAAGAAACTGGGATGACTGATGTTTAAAAGCTTGAGTCAGTTTCATCGCTGTTGCCTGTTTCTGGCTCTGGTCGTGTTCAAGGATTCTTTGTTGAAAGCTGCTTTAGTAATTCGATCGTAGTCTTCTTGAGGTCAGATCTGAAGCTACACAGATAGTCGTCAATGGCGATCACACACAACTTCCAGTCGCATCCACTTTCTGTTAGATCATGAACAGGATAGTTGTCTTGGAGAAACTCTGGTGATAAAGTACCAAAACAGTATAGTTATTTCTCAAAAAAAAAAAAAAAAAAAACAAAACGAGTTTATTCATTCCTAATTCTACTGCTTTTTGTGTGTGTGTGTGCTGGGGGTTAAATTCAGGACACCACTTATACTAAGCACACACTCTCCCAGTGAGCTACACCTCCTGCCCAGTGTCTCTAAAATTTTAACTAAAATGTATAAAACATGCATCTAGCATACTCTTTATTATCTCAAGCACAGGCATGCTAAGCCTCTGTAATACACAGGAGGCTGCAGTGTCTTCAACCTTGGAGATGCAAGAAGCTGTGACTGCTAACTTTTTTTGCTACTTCTGCATTTATATCTGACAAAAGGAATAAGGATCTTTAGATCTTGCAGTTATAGGATGACTTGCATGAGGGAAAATGACAGAGTAACATAATTCAAGTAGCACTGTTTGCCCTCCCACTTTCTTTCAAGGAGCACTGAAAGAAAGTGGGAAGACAAATAAAGGGAAAGATAGAGAAGAGAAACCTTTATTAGAAGAGCAGAGATGCCTTTGATACTTTTTTAGGTAATTACCTTAGTACTTCTGAGTCCTTACAAAAGAATTTGGTGATCCCTACAAGTTGGCATTAGTTTGCAACATTAACCTCACTTGTATTACACTAGGGTTAAAAGGCTGATAAATCAGGACAATGCCATTAACACAGCATATATCAAAAATTTTTAACAAGATGTATCAAACTGAAAAGATTTTCATACCCAAAGGAATAAAGTAAACACATGTAGTAGGTCACTGGATTCAGTATCAAGCTCTCTCCTGCTGAACTGAACATTTTTATTAACAAAAGGAAGTCAGGGAAAGGCTTGTCCCATGTGCTCATGAAGCAAAGCTGGGATGGTAATGAACACACGGGAATACAAATAACAGCATCTCAAAGCCTGCAACAGGCAGTAATGAAGGGCCCAAACTGGTTGTTGTATTCTCTGGAACAATAGTCCTGGAAGAAGTTTCTTGTGGAAAAGGCTTCGATTGTGTAAGTGGGAAATGTTAGCCCCCAGTGGGGGATTTACGATACACATGGCATATTAAATGCTCTGAGAAATTCCATAGTAAAAGTATATAACATCAGTAACTGTCATTATTCAAAGATTATAAGTACAGCAGCTTTGGTGGGGTACATAAATGAGGGAGGTGGCAGTGCAGGACAAGAGAGCAAGGCCTGGACAGAGCTGGAAGGCTTGACGGCTAAAGGCATTAGAAACATGTTTTAAATTTGAGAGTCCACTGAGGCCCTTGAATTGTTTATCAGCTTAAAGTCTTTCCAGATTATTTGACTAAGAAGCACATTACTCATGAAATACCTATCAAATCCAGCTGTCTTTGAAAAACAGTTTCAGTTTCATGAGTAAGCACGTTACTCATGAAACACCTATCAAATCCAGCTGTCTTTGAAAAACAGTTTCAGGAAGGTTGACCTACACGAACAAGATAAAATGCAAGAGAAATAATATAAGATAGTGCACTGACATTTAAAAATACTTTAGATTTAAAATGTGCCCCAAAAGTGACTGAATCACGGGAGCATTATACTCATCAGTGCATTTAGGAGGTGGGGCAAGGTTGAAAGTGGGTCACTGGGGGTGTATCCTGGAACGGTGTTTTCTTGTCTTGTTTTCTTAAAAGACTTGCAATGTACTTCCTATTGCTATAGTTTTATAGGTCTGTAATATACAGACATGGATGGAGTGGTGTGTAAGGAGTAAGGGTTTTTTTTTTATTACAAATCTGTAGCCTATTCAATTTCTCCATATAAAGTAGTCTCTAGAGAGCCCTAAAGAGCCCTTAAGTGACAAATGTACTCTTGTCAAAGAGAATTTCTTATGCAAAATCAACACCTTTGGTTAATGGACATAGTTATCTTTGACTACTGAGTTCCCTCCAAAACAATCTTAGGATAAGAAATAATACTGGAATAGAACAGTAACTTGGTTTATCCATTCAATGGGATACTAATTAGCAGGTATGAACAGGTCTCCAAAAACAATGTAGAGGGATAAAAAGTATACTAAAGGATATGTACTGTACATTCCCATTTATGAACCTGAAAACAATGATAGAACAGTATTATACATTATTTATGGATTTATTAACATAGGTAACATGGGAATGATCTACCAACTCCCGGACTGTGATTACTCCTGGGGAGGAAGACAAGGGAAAGAGATGATGGACTGTAGTCTTCATTATATCAATAATACCTTATTATTTTAAAAATGTCTATGTCAGCAATGGGTAGACAAGTATTGATTATATTATTGTATTCTTCTCCATACATTCTGGTGTTTGCAATTGCTGGACTGGGTCACAATGTAAGATTTTTTTTTTTTTACTACAAGTTGCAATAAATTTTAAAAAGATGGAAAAATATTGGGTCAGATGATAGCAAATGCTTGCAAAAGTAACTGTAAGCAAAGCTTCTTTAATTTAGTATAAAACACAGTTGTGTTCCAATTTGTTGTATAGGAAGGAGGAACAAACTGAAATCAGGTTAGGTGGGGTTCAGAGCAATGTCTTTGCTGGGTACCAGAAACACAAGAAAATATTCTGCGTCCTACTTTGTCAAATTTAAGATTTCACAGAATTGTTTTTGGAAGCTTTTTTACTTCATTTACATATGTCATAAATAGAGACTACACTGTGCTAATGTTTACAATTAAAAAAAAACTAGCAAATTACCCAGCTGTGGTATTATTAACACTTCTACAAACTGATGAGGCCTTTCAACTTTGACCTTAGGCTTCAATGAAGGTGTTTGAGTTTCCATACTCTCAGCAGGAAGCAGAGAGCAGGGAGTCACAGTCAATTACCCTTCTCCTATCCTAGTAAAGCCATTCAAGACACAGCAATTAGTCCTAGGAATCCAAACACAAAAAGAAGTATAGTTAATGAACTTTGCTATTCTCTAACGAGGGATTTAGTGCAAGCACCATCTCTCCTCAGGACGTACACAAACTGGATGGATTGACTTTCTACTCTTCTTCCCTAAAACAAGTGGCTTATATTTATTACAACATACTCTACATGTAACAAACCTCGGAGGGCACTAATCCTATTGGAGTCAAGGGCACACAGGCCTTCATCTGAACTGCCATAGACGTTACTTCTGATCAGGACATCTTCTGTGAACAGGTGGTGAAGGAGGTATTTGGCTGCCTGCTGTGGGTGACACTGGGATTTCGCTGTATCCATTACTGAATTTGGTATCTGTATATATCTGTATGGATTTCCAAAATATCCTAGAAGCAAAAAAGAAAGACTTCAATTGTCATGGCAGATGTTAGGTTGCATATTTTAAAAGGCTTTGATAGAAAGACTGATTTTTCTGATTTTGTGTGTGTGGTGCTGGGGATTGAAGCCAAGGCTTTTCATTTCACGCTGAGCTACAACCCTGGTCTTTTTCAATTTTATATTTTGAGTCAAGGTCCAGGCCAGGCTCCACCTTGCAGTCTTCCTGCCTCAGCCTCCCAGAATGCTAGGATTACAGGCATCGGCCCCCATACCTGGCTTTTTTTCTGAATTTTTAGACTTGAGAATTGGAGAAGTTAAAAGAAGCCTTAAATTTTAGTGGATTGTGAGGTAGCATGAGAAATGAGGCAGAAATCACTGTTACTGTGATTACACATGTTCCAGTTGTTCAAGAGGAAGATGTAGTATTGTGCTACAATTTAGGATACAATAAATTTTTTTTTTTTTTTTTGGTTTTTCTCCGGTACCGGGAACCAAACTCACGACCTTGCGCTTGCCAGGCAGGCGCTTTGCCGCTGAGCTAAATCCCCAGCCCCCTATTTTTTTTTTAATTTTACACAGAGCAGTAAATGAGAAACAAAGAAATAGAACAGTAGCAGCATACCAGTGTCACAAACAAACAAATCGAAGCAAGAACATTCAAAGTGCTACAGGGCTCAAGACAAAATAATATGAATCAACAGTGGTTATTACATCACATCACATTACATATGGGGGTGGGGATACAGCTCAGTGGCAGAAGTGCTTGCCTGGTAAGCCTGAGGTCATGAGTTCGAGTCCCAGTACCAAAAAAAAAAAAAACTGATTTCAAGTTAACAATATGCAATGGAATTACAATGGTGAAATCCTACCATCTTGTCTAGTGAAACTGTATTATCTCTACTGTTTTATCGAAGAATTATTTTCTTATTCCCTATAATGGTTTGAGCAATCTTTCATTCTTACATCGGGTATTAAATTTTAAAATTATATTTACTAGTAACTTCTAAGTAGTTTTAAATATTGTTTCCCTACTTATAAGAAAAGCTTTTCCAAAAAGAAGCACCATGTCTTTTACTGAAATATTTTAATTTTTAAGATGTAGGTTTTCTATTTAGTATTAAACTCTTCATTTTACAATTTAACCAGCTGATTCATCTTTAATATATTTTAGGTATATTTAAGCTGACAAATTAAATGTTAATTTAAGCTCCTTTTCATTTCTCAGTTTTATAGCTTATTGTTATCTCTCTGCACTTCATAGTGATATAAATTAACCATACTGGAATATTAAATTTTACATACAATAAGGCATTATTTAGGAAAACATAATAGGAAAATGATTGTTCTAAGTCAATAAGCATTTTTGATCTTGGAACACCCATCACTTAATGGGTGGCACAATAAAGTGTAAAGTCACTGGGATCCAACATTTACCAAGAAAGATTAAATTACTGAAACTCACTTAATGGGTCCAAAGACTTAATTCTGAGACTAATCTTGTAACATTTATCAAGGGTCAGAAATGCAGTTAATACTCTATCATGGTAATTTAATTTCTGAGAACCCAAGAAAATAATTCAAAATATCAAAAAAGCCATACAAATGAATACAATTTTTTACAGTATGATTGATAACCCCCTTCCAAAAAACCTTTAAGGGGCCGGGGAGATAGCTCACCGGCACGAGCGCCTGCCTGGCAAGCGCAAGGTCCTGAGTTCGATTCCTGGTATCAAAAAAAACAAAAACAAAAAACCTTTAAGCCAAAAAAGTAAATACAGTTAGTTATATAAATGGAGACACATTAACATGTTGGAACTCTACAAACCTATTAAGAGCAATGACTATGAAGAGTGTAGACTCTTCACGAAAAATATAGGAGGACAGTTGTCTGGAGACCATAATATTTCAAAATGTGTGTAAGAAAAAAAATGAAGAAGATGAAAATGCCCACAAAAGTTTTTTTCAAGATATGTTGATTATAGAAGCTTTTCCTTCCTCTTCAATATTTTCTAGTTTTTAAAATAAAATAGTGTAACAAGTACACACAAACAGTGGTGGTTGGCTGGTTAACAATGCACTTAGTTGCCCTGTTCCCTGACACAGTCTGTAAGAGACCTGTAACACAAACTCCCTAGATGAGATGCTTTTTCTTTCCCAAAGCACTGGGGTCACTCTAGCTCCTAAGTGCCACAGGCTTGGTTTGTGCTTTGCTTCTTTAAGTACAGGCGCTAGTTATCTGGTGATTTCTGTTGTTTAATTTAGCCAGTCTGTTTCTACAGTGTGTACAACCTTAACAGATACAGCAATTACATTACTTTTATAATGGAAAAATATAATACAAAAATACATCACTTCAATAATTCAATTTGAACAGGATCCCAGGTAATATTCTACCGAAGGTTGATGTCAGGCACAGGGTAGAGACACAATAAAGTTCTGCCACCTCAGGGACACTTGTTGGTAGTGATGATGCTAAAAGCCAGCACTGAGAGGCACAAGTGGCTAGTGGAACTGTCCCCCTATATATAGAACCACTGCCGCTTGACACAAATGAAGGCAGGACATGATAGACAGCTGGCAACAGGAACACAACATTCTGAGGAATGGGATTCACTAATTCATGCCAAAAACTCTTGCTGAGCATGAGTAATGTGCCAGACACAGAGAAGACAAACTTCCAGCTGATCCCAGCTGCAGCTCCTTCCCCTCCACCTATAGAGGCTAGTGCCTCCTCTAAGAGTTTACACTGCTGAAATGAGTGGATAAAGGGTTGCTCTCCACAGGAAAAATAAAGGATTCAGATTAACTTTACAAGTGGCCAGTTTTAGAACCAGGTGTTTATATTTCATTAGCTTGTTAATATAAGAGGTTAAATAGCTCTAATTTCTTATGAATTTTTTTCCAACATATGTAAAGGTAAAGAGAATAGCACATTGAGTTCCCTGAACATATCACCCAGACCCAATATATATCAGCAAGTTAATTTATTTTTAAAACTCATGTAGTGATTCAGGAGTGATCACTGCATTATGACTACTATCAGGTTTGGCATTATTACTCTGTGAAGAATTCCCATTTTCTATTGTTTGTAAGGCCCTTGTCTATGGAGACAACTGAGAACTACCCTCACCACCACCACCAGCCTTCAAGCATTCACATGCATAGATGTTAGCATAATGGGGCTGGGGGGTCTTTATTTCTGTCAACAATGTATAAACCAAGTCCCACAGTAGCAAAGTATGTACAGACACTCCTCGCTTAACAATTGAGTTCCATTCCTGCAACTAGGTTGTTAAATGAGTTGGTCTCTGTCTCAGTTACTTTTCTCATTGCTGAGACAAAATATCCAAAACCAAAAGTTAAAGGAGGAAAGATTTATTTTGGCTCACAGTTTGTAGAGGTCTCAGTTCACAGTTGACTGACTCCAAGGCAGGGTGGCATGGTAGAGGGGCATCACAATGGAGAAACAGCTCATGGCAGACAGAAGGTAGCAAAGCAGCAGCAAACAACAACAGCAGCCTTCTTTCTATCCTTTATATTGTACCCAGGCTACCCGCTCTACCACTCACACTCTTCATTCTAGCACCCTTAATCCCAGCACTGCACCATGAGTCAGTCCCAGCATTATATCCTTAAACTCAGCATCACTCACCCTAGATCCAGCCACCTCTGAAAAGGCCAACCTATGACCACATGAGGCTCTGGAGGGACACATCTAAATACAAGCCATACCAGCTGCTAAATGAGGAACTGTATATAGTATGTATATTACAATATTCAGAACAAAAAATGGTCAAAGAAAATCTCAACTTGATGACTTTGCTTTTATTTACATAACTCTAACATGCAGTACTATAATGTATAACAGGACATAAAACTACAACATTGTAGAAACTACTATACTGTATTGTAGAAGAAGTCAACATAAGGCAGCATTCCTGTGTCCTAAGTCCAAATATGGGTTGTAAGCGTAAGTACTGGCTCATAAGTCCAAATAGTCATTAAACAGGGAGGTCATTAAATGAGGAATATCTGTACATGCTCCAGCATCTACCAGGAATCCCTAGGTTGGTAGGGAAGCAACATCTCTAAAAAGGTGGGTTGACATTACGTTAATACTTGTGCCACAATACTATCTGAATGGAAGCAGAGGTGTAGATGATCCCTCACGCTGCCATGACTTGCTGTTTCTCAGGGACTTGGTAGTTCAGTCTGATGAACTGAACAATAATTGTCTGCACAAAATAAGTGCATGACAAACATTCCATGAATGAGTAAAGAAGTTTCTTGGGGATGACAATTTTTGTTTGTATTTAACATTTTGTTTATTTATTTTTTCTTTCCCCGGTGGTTTTCTAATCTGGTTGTACATTTGAATCACCCTAGGGAGCTTTCTTTTAAAAACAGTCATGCTGGGTCCCACTCTCAGCAAATTCAACCAGAATCTCTGGTGATGGAAGAGGACAGTTGGCAAGAATAATGTTCTTAGAAAAGGTCTTACATGATTTTAATGTGTATCCAGTAGTAACAATCATTGCCCTAGGTTAGGGCTTCTCAAACTTTAGTGTGTTCACAAACTACCTGGAGGGTCTTGCTAAAATGTAAATTCTGCCTCAATGAGTCTGATGTAGAATCCAAGGACTGCATTTGTAAGCTGTCTAGAGCTTTTGGGCAATGGTTCCACTTTGAGTGGCAAGAACCTATCGGGTTATTTGTCAGGCACACAGCAGGCACCTGGCAGATGCTGCTTCTCTTCTGATGCTCAAGCATATATGCAAATTATCATTTTCCAGGCAGCATCTTAATTTTACATGCAAATTAGTTTGGATGCAGTTTTTGAAAGCTATAAAATGGAATGTTAAAAATAAGCAGACTGGTTTCAGACAGATGGTGCTTGAGCTATCACTAAAATCAAGCCGTTCACCAGGAAAACATAAGCTCAGCTACAAATATTCTTGGCAAATAGTTTCCATAAACTTACTCTAGTGAAATAAGAGTAACTAGCCAT